ACTGTATAGCCCTCTTGTATCACTGCCTTGAGCATCTGACGTTTGGAATCCGGCAAGTGCTCAAATAGAGGGATCAGTTTCGAATAGTTATCGAAATCGTGGTTTGCTAGCTGTGCCGCAAAGTTACACATCCTCAGAGCAGAAGTAGAGGAGGAATATACTTTCTTGCCCAAGATATCCAGTTGTTTGGCCTCCTTGTCATTTGAGGGATTCTTGGTCTGAGATGATCTTGTTCTCTGTTGCGTCCACGACAAGGGAGTTAGGCTGAGGATGTGTAAAGAGAAACTCCATATCTTTCTGAGAGATGAAGTACTTCTTATCCGACCGCTTATTAGTTGGTAGCGAAGTGGCTGGGGTCTGCCAGATGTCGTTGGCGATCTCCAGTATAGCTTCATCAAAGGGAAAAGCGAGCTTCGACTTTTGGGAAGGTTGTAAATTTTTAAGCAATCGATGTTGTTTCTGTTGCACGTCCGCGGTCTGAACGTCCTGGGATTGTGCAACTCTCTTGAAGAGCTCCTGGAACTGCTTGTGGTCCTCCGTAGTAGACAAGTCCGGAGGGACCACTGCGTCATCCGGCGAGGATGAGGAACGCTGCGCCGGGGAATCAGGGCTCTGCTGTCCTTGAAGAGAAGTGTGTTCCTGCTTATCCTCGTGATATTGCGAATCCAGGTCCCCAGCCGAGGATGGTGGCGCTACATAAGGAGCAGACTCGTCCAGACCGTGTGGAGATTGATGCTGAGAAGAATGCGGTGATCGCGATCGCGAATACCTTCTGCGGCGAGATGAATGAGAAGATTACTCATGGTAATAGCAGTCTTCCCTCCGACTGTGGCAGGGAGAACTGCTATATCTTCTCAATGTGTCATATCGCCGATGGCAGTCTGTACGGCTTGGGGATCTTGGTGAAAGGGATCTCCTATAGTAGCGTGAGGGCGAGCTCGAGTAGCGATCCCGATAGTACCGACGTGGCGATGAACGACGAGGTGACCTATAGTAGAGTTCCCTGGAGGTCGAGTAACGGTGACTGTGACGACGGTAATCAGCATGGGACGAGGTAGGTGAGTCAGGTCCAGGTGAGAAGGTGACACTGTCCGGAGTTATTGATGGTGTCCGGACTCTTGCAGTCTTTTGCTGCGCTTTGGTTGGCACCGAGGGATTGCAGGCAGGCCGAAGAGGTGCTTGTGTCAGAACAGCAAACAGTGGAGAAGCCTCTGCCACTTGAACGTCTGCCACATGAATGGCAGAGTAAAGGCTCGGTGCAGCTTGATCCCCCGGAAAGGTGAAAGCAGGAGGCTGGGCTGGTAGAGACTCCTGCGGCGGAGGTGCATCTGGTGACGATATACCTGGCACCGAGGAGCCCAGAGCGGCACCTATGGAAGGCGCTGTGGGTGCCGTCACAGCTGGCTGCGGGCGCGCATGCGCCGGAACTCCCGGTGCCGGGGCTTCTCTTGCCGGCTCCGCAATGGCCGTTAAAGCCGTTGCCGGCACCGACTCCGCTCGCGACCCCTTCTTGAGTGTCGGAGCGGAGCTTTTGAGGCGGGCTGCAGTTGGGGGAGAAGAACTACGGCCCGGCTTGCCTGCAGTGGCGCTTGGTGTCCCGTGGATCCTGGGGGCTTGCCCGGGTTGCTCAGGAGATGCAGAGTGCGGCTCGGAGACCCCCGGAGCTTGGAGAGCCTTATTGAACAGAAGGACTCTCAACCTAAGCTCCCGATCCTTTCTAGCGCGAGCTGTCATCTTCGCGCAGTGACTGCACTTGGCTGGGACATGAGTGTCCCCGAGACATTGGACACACCGGGAGTGTCCATCTGAGATGGGGATAGCCTCCTGGCACTGGAGGCACTTCTTGAAGCCGGGTGATCCTGGCATTTTTTTTTGAGTCCTTTGTTCTTGTCAATTTCAGTCAGGGAAGCCCTGACCGCCCGCTGAAGAAAAGCGGCTTTTCTTTTCTTCTTTCTTTTTTTTTTTTTTTTTTAAAGGGGGAACTACAACTAGAACAGATAACTACCTATCACTAACCAAACAACAACTAGGAAGGTTTTTCCCTTTCCCCTCAGAGAGGAGAAGGGAGCCTAAACTAACTCCGTCTGCGGCTGCGGACGGTTGGAGAGAAACTGACGAGACCGGACCGCGCTCAGATGAAAGGCGCGAAGGGGACACTCGCGCATGCGAGGTCCGGCAGGGGGCTACTGCTAGTGAAAATTCCTCCGGTTTGCAGCGCCGGGACGAGTCCAGCACCTCGAGTGGAGCACCCTCGGGGACGCTACTCGATGAAGAACAAAGGGTAGGAATAAATGGTAAGTTTTCAGAGTGGAGAGAGGTAACTAGTGGGGTCCCCCCAAAGGTCTGTCTGTCCTAGTCAACCTATTTATAAATTATCTAGAGAAAGGGGTAAACAATGAGGTCGCAAAATTTGCAGATGATACCTAACTGTTCAAGATAGTTAAGACTAAAGCAGACTTTGAAGAGCTTCAGAAAGATCTCACCAAACTAAGTGATTGGGCAACAAAATGGCAAATGAAATTTAATGTTGATAAATGTAAAGTAATGCACATTAAAAAACATAATCCCAACTATATATACACAATACGATGGGGACTAATTTGGCTACAACAACTCAAGAGAGATCTTGGAGTCATTGTGGATAGTTAAACAGAATGTTAGGAATCAATAACAAAGGGATAGAGATAAGACAGAAGATACCTTATTGCCTCTGTATAAAACCATGGTACACCCACATCTTGAATACTGAGTACAGATGTCGTTGCCTCATCTCCAAAAAGATATATTGGCATTGGAAAAGGTTCAGAAAAGAGCAACAAAAATTATTAGGGGCTTGGAACAGGTCCCATATGAAGAGAGATTAAAAAGACTTAGTCTTCTCTTCTCTAAGATGAAAAGTCCAAGGGGGATGGAAAGAGTGAATAAGGAAAAGTTATTTACTTACTCCCACAATATACTCCCACAATATAAGAACTAAGGGTCACCAAATGAAATTAACTGGCAGCAGGTTTAAAAACAAACAAAAAAGTTTTTCTTCATTCAGCACACAGTCGACCTGTAGAACTCCTTGCCAGAGGATGCGGGGAAGGCTAGAACTTTAACAGGGTTCAAAAAAGAGCTAAATAGATTAATGGTTTCTAGGTCCATCAATGGCTATTAGTTAGCATGGGTAGGAATGGTATGCCTAGCCTGTTTCTCTGGAGGTGGGTGACAGGGGAGGGATCACGTGAGGATTACCTGTTGTGATCCTGCCCTCTGGGGCATCTGGTATTGGCCACTGTCGGCAGACAGGATACTAGGCTAGATGGACCTTTGGTCTGATCCAGTATGGTCATTTTATGTTCTATATTTCTCAACACTCTGTTGGTTGCTTTTCTATTGGTTGCTTTTCTGACTATAAATTACATACGGGTAAAAAAATAATAAAAAAAATACAGAACTTCTAAATTTGTCCCCCAATACATACAACCATAATTCTGTTTACAAAACATTGCAACAGAATGGAGAAGAAAAGTGAATGTTAAGTATCAGAAGTGATATGAATAAGACATTTTCAGAAAGATATATATGAGGAATATTAGTCCACTACTTGAATGTTCTAGAACTAAGAAAATGTTATTTTAAAAGAAAATGCCAGGATAGAACCAATTAAAACTCTGAGAGCATATGACAATATTCAGCTAATTTCCAGGAAGAATCCTGCACAACATTGCTTGTATTTCACTGATGTATGCTACAATTAGAGTATACAACTGCAATCTCTTTTAAAGCTATTTTATAAAACTATACTATTCAGCAAAAGTTTAATCACAAATCAAGATGAGGATAAAAATTAGTACTGCTTCTTGCACATAATTTGTCTTGTTTTCCGTGCTGAGCTAGCCAAACTGCATATAACAATGTGTGTTAAAACCTACTTTCCCCAAAGGCCAACACAACTGCAATCACTGACAAAGGACTCATCTGCTAGGATTATTCCTGAAGTGAGATGCTACAGGATTTGTCTAATTTTCAATATTTTACAAAATGAAAGACATTTTGTATAGAAACAATTTAAGTTTTGATATGTATTTACCCAGGGCAGAATATATGGTATCTTTTATTCAAGTCTTTTTGACAGTTTTGAACAGTGTCATTGCCTTAACAAATCAAAGACACATTTGAGGAATAAGTATATCCGTAGGGAAGTTTCAGATGAGGGAAAACTGCTGCTCAATATTTCCTTCTCAGCACCTCCTATGGAGCGGATGACAAAATGGAAGCAACTCCCTCTGCTATTGTCCCTAAATCCCCTCAAATCTGCCATTTTAATAGAAGGGCAGAAACAGGACATGACTTCTCAAAATATATTTTTTAAATAAAATGGCTTAGATACAAAACAAGCACATCTTTCCTGGATTCTGCAGTATTTACATGTCCTTTCTGGATTGTGGTAAAGAAACAAACCTGTGCTCTTGGTCTCTTAACATGAGAAGCTCATGTAGATGTTGCACCTTCTCTTTCTGTTGTCGAAGAGATAAGCGAAGTAACTGTACTTCTCTCTCGGTTGCTGAAGCTTTTAATTCTGCCTCTTGAATCCGCTTCATCTGTATAAAATTTATAAAAACAGAGTAACAAGTCTTAAAACTGCCCCCTTTTCCTAAAGTTTTCAATTAGGATAAAAAATAAACACACTGCTTTAATAAGACTGTTACCAGGGCTATTATTTCTGTGGCAAATGCCATGACTGTTAAGATATTTTCATAAAAGGCCATAATTTTTGTTACTCCACTAGTCCAATACAGAGCAAGACTTCTCTATGTAATACTAATTTCATATTCAAAGTTGAAAATTTGTACCCCATATCAAATGCAACAATGTTAACTGAGAATCTTCAAAGGGTTTTTAGTACTTTTCTAAAAGCAAAGCAATGTTTATTTACCAATTTACAGAGTAAGGATTAAGAAGAATTAAAGAAACAAAACAAAAAAACCCTACACCTTGATAGACTTATTTACCTCAATTCACAATTTCAGGCAGAACATCGGAGAAATGCCACAATCTTTAGAATACTTGGTGCAGTCTCTAGTAATGTGGACCAATAAAGTCTGTAGTTTACTGATTTGAGTTAAAGTTATTGTCACCAAAAGTCAACTACATTCCATTGTGGATAAGTAAGTCAAGAGTCATTAAGCCAGAGAGAGAACAAGCATGAGAATAAATGATGGATGGAGCACTCACTAAAGATAAAGTCCTCCTGCTCCAATGATTCTTTACTTATTTATCCACAGCAGAACAATTTCAACAGGAGAAACTGAGGGAATCCTTTATGAGGATATCCCATAGCCCACTGGTTAGGTCAATCACCTAAGAACTGACAGATTCTCTTCTTCAAATCCCTTCTCCCCTTCAACCAATGGAGTGGAGGAGAGACTTGAATCAGGTGTCTCCTTTATCCTAGGTTAGCAGCCTAAAATCTCTAGGCTAGAAATTATGAGAGGTAAGTCCCACCCACAAATAGGTCCTAACTGCAAGTGAATGTTTGCAGCTGAGACTCTGAAACAGAGAGAAATGCTTCCCTGCAGCATGGATTTAGGGATTTATTTAGGTGAGGAGGAAGGGCTTAGGACCATCTGCCCCTCTCCCCAGCATTTCCTATTGGCTAGTTTAGGCAGGGAGCCACCTAAACTTTATGGCTTTTGTGAATCCTGTTCTGAGGCACCTATCTCCCTGCGGTCATTATATGGGAAGCCTGAGTACTTAACCCTAGTTGTGGGAATCACAGTGATTTTCTAGTCACCAAGAAGTTACATTTGACAAAGCTGAGCCAGGAATACTAGAACTAAGGGGTGCTGAAAGCTGCAGTAGCACCCCTTGGTTTGAAGTAACAACAGCAACAGAAAATTCAGCTTCCATCCTATACAGGGCTTACAGTTTTGTTTAATGAATTTCAGAAGCCCCACAACAAAATTGTTCTAGACCCACCGTGCTGAATATTGCTAAGCTCCTTTCTAGCCCAAGTTGGAAAACTTTCATTTGATATCATAAGCTTTTGTGGTGAATTCCTTTTCTCTATGTAGTTGAAAATAGTTTTTTCCATATATCACAATATACCCTTTATACCCTTTGATAAGAGGGAAAGATTGGATTATAACCAAAAAAAAAAAAAAAAAAAAGAGTAAAAAAGTAAAACAAACCCCACCTTGATTTTATATAAATAATACACTCAAGACAATATCTTCCTACAACACTCTCTGAAGATTCAGGTCAGGATATGGAAGAGACCGTATAGGTGCTTTTAATGGATGATTTCATTATTTATCACTGGTCTAAGGTGGTGCCTACTTCCAAGATATACAACAGTATCAACTTCTATATTGGATGTCCCCTTTTAAAAAGATTCTTCCTCCAGGTCATTGTAGACACTACCCAGCAGCAGATGCTAAATCCTTCCCTCTCTCTACAGAGCAGAATACTCTGGCAGATCTCTCCTTCAGCTCTTGTACTTTATTCAACTCTAATCTCTGAAGCTTTGTTTTCTGGGGTGCCAAAGCTGTTAATAGTTGATCAACAGACAAAGCACTTTCTTCGATTATCATTTTAAAAAGGAATAATAATTAAAGCAATATGACTTAAAGCATAGAGATGGAAGGGAAACAAACAAAAAAAAAAAGTAATTTACTTTCCTGCTCTCAGAAACGCAGAGCAGAGCAGTTTTCTCTGGCATTATTTTCTCCATCTTCCCAACTGACACTGGATTTTCATATCAATCAGAAGGTCAAAGGACATTTGTGATATCAAGCAAGTAAGTAATTTGAGATGATATTGTTTTGGGGAAGATAATCTCCCTAACAGATGCCCCATGCCAATATATAAAATCCCTGCATTTTCAAATGGCACACGATCTCCTGCATGCAAACTTTAAAAAAAGAGGCACAGGATCATCTTGGTTAAAGTTTAATTGGCAATGTGTTCCAAAATTACCTAAGAAAGTGTCTAAAGACCAAGTTGCTCAAGCTAATCAAGTTTTGTGGATATATTTATTCTCCGTAATAAAGGCATTATTTCTAGTTCTTCATTTTTGAAAGGATATGCTTCCTCATAGGTCACATCTAACAAATCTATTTGTTATCATTGTTATTGGAAACCAAACAAAGCACAATCGACTTTTGTTGTTGTTCTTTAAATTCTCGCTACATCTCTTGATTTCTTTCACAAAAAGAACCTTGATAAAGACTCTATAATCTAAATGGGGAAATGCTTTTTGGGTGTGTCTAAACTACACCCCTCTGTCGGCATCCTGCACTTCATTTGCATAATGGCAGCCGTCGATTTCTTCAAAATGGGGCTTTAAAAAAAAACCCCGGCAGTTTAGACAGGGCATTTTCGACAGAAATGCCCCGTGTCGAAAGATCCTATATTCCTCAAAACATTAGGAGTACAGGATCTTTCGACACGGGGCATTTCTGTCGAAAATGCCCGGTCTAAACTGCCGGGGTTTTTTTTAAAGTCCCGTTTGAAAAAAGCGGCGGCCGCCATTATGCAAATTAAGCACGGGATATTTAAATCCCTGCTTCATTTGCACTTTCGATGTTTAATATACATCCCTCTGCCGACACAGGGGTGTAGTTTAGACATACCCTTTGAGATAAGTTAACCATACAATGAAAACACAAAATTAGATTAATTTACAATATGTCATAAATGTCTTAAATTCACATTAACAAAACAAATAACTCTTCAGGAACTTATACCAAAATAATTACCTTTATCAGTGATAATTAGGTTCTCAACCATCGTATTAACCCCCTCAAAACTGAGGCAATGCCACGCTGCATTACAGAAAAGAACTCTATAAATATTCTAGAAAATAATATTCTAGAAAACAAAATGATGTCATTGCTACCAAATAGCAAGAGATTTATTCCAGGATCTTCCCTCCACCAAGGAATTCAAGGGCTTTATGCACCACTAAAATAATTACCTTTCTAAAACAAAAAGAACCGCCACACCAATACATAGGGGAAGAGTACAGGCAGTCCCCGACTTACGCGGATCCGACTTATGTCGGATCCGCAGTTACGAACGGGGCTGCCCCAGAGTACACGGACTGCGGGACCTCGCGGTCCTGCCGCCCGGGTACTCTGGGGCTTTGCTCTGCGTCTCCCTGCTCTGCCCCGGGCTTCCTGGAATCAGCTGCTGATCAGTTTCAGCAGCAGCTGACTTGGGGACGCTTGGGGTTCTTAAGTTGATTCTGTATGTAAGTCAGAACTGGCAGTCAGTTTCAGCAGCGGCTGAATCTGGACGCCAGTTCCGACTTACATACAGATTCAACTTAAGAACAAACCTACAGTCCCAATCTTGTACGTAACCCGGGGACTGCCTGTATTTAGATTTGGTCTCTCTCTTCCTAAAAGGCAGGATTCATACTGGGGACTTGGAGATAATTTCCAGATTCTCAGTAATCCCAGACTGCTTGTAAAATAGTTTGATGAACAGTATTATATAATATATGCTCTTTATGCTGTATAAAAGCCAAAAAGATACCAATGCCTCCTTTGGCCATAGCATCACCATGCTTTTCCACTTCAAGAATGAAAAGCATCTAACACATTATTGCCCATTATTGTTTTGTTGTGTGTAAACTTACAGAGAGGCATGCAATTCATTTCTTCTGACAATAGATACAGGATAACGTCAAAAAATGTGTAAGTATTGCAGTATGCCTAAAACCAGTTTGCCAATTTAAAGAATAACTATTTCAGGTTGCTTACAAGCCTTTTTTAATTATATACTGCAGAAAAATCCCACTAAGTCTAACAAGTAATTGACCCTAAACTATGTTTCTTATACACACACACACACACACACACACACACACGTTTAATACTTTATTGCCTCCCATTCTTTAAATTTGAAAGAACTGCAATTAAAATTAAATATTTGATCAAATATGCATTTTCACTGTAAATGCTAATTTTTTTTTTTTAAAAAAGTGAGGCTTGTGACATTTTAAGAGCTCATTAATATCTATATTGGCTTATTAGAGACAATCTGCAAAATATATACCCCTGTTGCTTCTTGTTGTATTCTGTGTGTCTCCATCTTGGATAATGTTTCTTCTAAAATTTGAAGAGCCTTTTGTTGATCTTCCTCTTTATTTCTTGCTTGATTTAACTCATTGGTAAGTCTTTCAGTTTCATTTTTCAGTTGCTGGATATCAGCTTGCAGTCTTGTTTTTGTATTTCTCTCTCTCAAAATCAGTTCCTTTAACCTAAACATTGGTGCAGTAACAAATACATTCCTTTCAATTATATTTACTAAAATATATAATGTATTTATAACAATGTATCCCATCCTATACAAGAAAACTTCAAATATTTTTAATAAGTTTAATTCTGGCAAATAATAAAACACCATGCTGAGCTTTATTAGGCATGTTGATAAGGTTCACTATGGTAATGTTACAATTTCTAAAAAAAATTAACTTGATTTTTCTTTAATTTGATTTAACAAAAGACAGAATCACATCTCACTCTGAAATTCTGGAATAAAGGTTAGTCATCTTAGGTACATTTGTACCAGAGTGAACATCTATTAATGGAAAGAAGAATTGATTCTGTAACCAAAAGAAAAAAATTTGAGGGAAAAAAAAATCTTCCAAATTCAACATGGATGTTTCAACTTGGGAAATATTTTTGCCTCATTTTTCTTGTGAAGCACGGCCCACCCAAGGCAAAATGACTGATCGACAACTCTAATATTACTCAAGACTCCATTAGGAAATAGAATTTATGAAAATGAGTCCAGCAAGAATATTAAGAGGTTTATTGACTTTTGCTAGTCTGAATGTTAAAAATGGTGCACTTTGTAATGGTTGGGTGTTTTCTTTCATTCAGGGCTGGCACAGGGAGGCAAGAGAATTGAATGCATGTAACTCATTAGAGCCGCATTTCTCAAACTGTGGGTCCCGACCCACCGGGGGTTCGCAAGTAACTTAGAGGGGGGTTGCGGTATCACAAAGTTCGAGAACCCCTGCATTAGAGAGCTAACACTTTGTCCATTTGGAAGACAGTAAAAATAGAGGAACAAACTTTGAAAGAGAGGATTTTACTAAACCAATCAGCGGAATAAACATTTTTCCTTTACCTTTCTGTAGTATACACAGCCATACTCTGAATATCCTTTTCTTCTTTTGACTGTTTCTGCAATTCTTTGATATGTTCTTTCAATTTCTTTTCAGCTTGTTCAGCTTTCCATCTCTTCTCTTTCTCCTGATCCAGTTCTTGAACTAGTGCCTGAACATAAAAATATTAAAAACCAACATTCTGAAAACTTCAGGTTTAGATAAAATAGTTAGCTCTTCTGCTTAATAGCTCTGATAAAAACTGCTTGTACTTTTAGAAAGCTGATGGAAAACCAGGTTAAGTAAAAGAATATTGGGTAAATAAAACATCTACTTCCATCAACAGGAGGAAATGCATTCATCTGCTCAGGGTAGGAAAGCTTAACAGAATCACCTGTCCAACCAACTGGCTCATAAAGAAGGGTTATACAGGTTGCACCTCTATAAACCGGAAAACTCTGGTCCAGCAAGACCACAGATGTTCCAGGGTCAGAATATCCTAGTGCGCTTCAGGGGATGAGAGTGGTGATAGCCCCGTACAATGCAGGTGGGCGGGGGGAAGGAGGGGATGTGGCGACGCATGGCCTAGCTGGGCTTCCCAGGGGAGCTAGGAAATTGGGGGGGGGGAGAAGAGAGGGAGAAGGGGAGAGAGGCAGGGCAGGGGATAGGGCCAGCAGTACGGGGGCCTGAAGGTGTTAGATCAGGGAGGACCAACCTGTATCATTACAACTTACTTTTTCTTCTCTTCTACTTATTTGTTTACGCTGCCATAGCGTAAATTTGTAAAAGTCTTAGTAGGAAAAGTGAACATTAACAATTTGCTATGACAAAAAGTGCATAATAATATATTGCTGAAAAGTTTATGTTTTGAGCTTTTTTAATTATTGAAACTTCACTACTTTACAGAACAATTTAGCAAAATGATCCTATTCAAAAATAATTTTTAAATGTTTAGCAAAATGATCCTAGCAAAATGATCCTATTCAAAAATAATTTTTAAATTTTCCTTGGACAACCTTTGTATTTATTCTTGCTCTACTACCGGTGAAGACTAAATTTTTCCATTTCCTATATTGCAAGTAAGAACATACTCTGTAAGTGGATTCCTCTGCAGTACTTGAATTCACACCTTCTGTTTTTCTTATTTGACTCTTTGGTCTTCCCATCAATTTCTTGGCTGATTTTCCCACCACTTCTAAGTCTGGTGTTTCTGAAGCTGAATTTACACAAGAAGAGTTCTCTTTCATTTGAGAATGCAGACACTTTGACTTCAAGAAATTCTGCTCCTCTCCTCTGAAATAATAGTAAAGTTAATATACTTAAAATGTGTACAAAGTTAAATCTCTCTTTACACACTGAAGACATCAAATATCAGCTGCTCCTACAGAGCATCAGAAAACAACATCTGTTGATATTAGAAGCTGGAAAAGTCAATTATACTGAACTGCACATCTAAATTTAAGGGAACAAGTTGTAAACAGAGTGGAAATTGACAATAATTAGATTAACTGTAAAAACATGCCATCCCCTTAGATATATATTTTGAAAACTATTTAATGCTCATCTACAGAAATTCTCTCCTTATCCAAATGTAGCAAGAGAATTTCAGGCATTTGGTTTTAAGATCAAACCACTGGTATCAACTGTAGTAAAAATTAAAATTGTCAGACACATGGATGAATATAATTAGTTGGGGGAAGTCAACATGGTTTCTGTAAAGGGAAATCATGACTTATAATTTGCTACAGTTCTTTGATGGGGTCAACAAACATGTTGACATGTGGGATCCAGTGGATATAGGATACTTAGATTTCCAGAAAGCCTTTGACAAGGTCCCTTAAGCAAAGGTTTTTAAGTAAAGTAAGTTGTCATGGGATAAGAGGGAAGGTCCTTTCATGGATTCATAACTGGCTAAAAGTCAGGAAACAAAGGGTAGGAATAAATGGTACATTTTCTGAATGGAGAAAGGTAACTAGTGGGGTCCTCCAAGAGTCTGTCCTGGGACCCATCCTATTCAACTTATTTATAAATGATCTAGAGAAAAGGGTAAACAGTGAGGTAGCAAAATTTGCAGATGATACCAAGCTGTTCAAGATAGTTAAGACTAAAGCAGACTGTGAAGAACTTCAAAAAGATCTCACCAAACTAAGTGATTGAGCAACAAAATGGCAAATGAAATTTAGTGTTGATAAATGTAAAGTAATGCACATTGGAAAACATAATCCCAACTATATATAAAATATGAGGGGGACTAATTTGGCTATAACTACTCGAGAGAGATCTGGGTAGTTCTCTAAAAATATCTACTCAGGGTATGTCTAGACTGCATCCCTCTGTCGACAGAGGAATGCAGATTAGGCAGGTCGACACTGCAAATGAGGCAGGGATTTAAATATTCCGTGCGTAATTTACATAAAAATGGCCACTGCATTTTGCCAGCTCCGCACTTTGTTGGCAAAAAGCGGCAGTCTAGAGGGGGATCTGTCAAGAAAGAAAGCCTTTTTCGACAGATCCTGTAAACCTCTTTGTAGGAGGCATAAGGGATCTGTCGAAAAAGGCTTTCTTTCTTGACAGATCCTCCTCTAGACTGCCGCTTTTTGCCAACAAAGTGCGGAGCTGGCAAAATGCAGTGGCCATTTTTATGTAAATTACGCACGGAATATTTAAATCCCTGCCTCATTTGCAGTGTCGCCCTGCCTAATCTGCATCCCTCTGCCGACAAAGGGATGCAGTCTAGACATACCCTCAGTGTACAGCAGCAGCCAAAAAAGCAAATAGAATGCCAGGAGACATTAAAAAAGGGATAGAGAATAAGACAGAAAATATCTTATTGCCTTTATATAAAACCATGGTACGCCCACATCTTGAATACTGCATACAGATGTGGTCGCCTCATCTCTAAAAAGATATATTGGCATTGGAAAAGGTTCAGAAAAGGGCAACAATTATTAGGGGTTTGGAACAGGTCTCATATGAAGAGAGATTTAAAAGACTTGGACTTTTCAACTTAGAAAAGAGGAGACTAAGGCGGGATATAATAGAAGTCTATAAAATCGTGACTGGTGTGGAAAAAGTGAACAAGGAAAAGTTATTTACTTATTCCCACAATATAAGAACTAGGGGGGTCACCACAACAAAAAGAAGTTTTTCTTCACTTAACACACTTTCAACCTGTGGAAATCCTTGCCAGAGGAGTTCTGGTGAAGGCTAGAACTTTAACAGGGTTCAAAAATGAACTAGATAGATTCATGGAGGTTAGGTCCATCAATGGCTATTAGCCAGGATGTGTAGGAATGTTATTCCTAGCCTCTGTTTCTCTGGAGGTGGGTGACAGGGGATGGATCATGTGAGGATTACCTGTTGTGTTCCCTCCCTCTGGGGCATCTGATATTGGCCACTGTCGGTAGACAGGATACTGGCCCAGATGAACTTTTGGTCTGATCCAGTATGGCTATTCTTATGAGGATTACCTTCTAAAATTTCACCTTTTACATCTCACACTTCACATGTAAAGGAAACTAAGACATAATTAAAAAGCAGGCAAGCACAACCATGAAGAAAAGTGATCATCAGACCTGAAAAGTAGTTATCCAAGGCAGGGGTGGGCAATCATTTTTGAATGGGGGCCACTTAAAAAAAAATGTTTGGAGTGGTTGCGGGCTGCACCAGAGGGGATGGGGCCTTGGGCGTAAGGGGCAGATCTTTTAAATAACAGCAATTGAAAGGGCTCGAACCTCCCCTGAAGCTCCCAGGCATCATGTTAGTGGGGAACAGGAGCTGCAAGCCCTTTCAATTTCTGCTATTTAAAAGGGCTCATTGCTTTCAGCCTCACTATTGGGGATGCTAGAGTATTCTAGTCTTGGGCGGGCTGAATTTTCTTTTCGGCAAGTTGAAATTTCTTATGTGCAACACCAACATTGATGTAGTGTATGGACTCACCAGTTGTTTATGTGCACCCACCAGTATATACAAAAACCCTATATTAATATATATTAAGTAGTCCATAGGTGTGGAAGAAAATATATTAATATGAGGAATAACTGACAAGGAGCAGTGCTTATGATTATTTAATATGAAATCAAATAAAAAATTAACACTATCCTGAAAGAGTGGACCGTGCCACATCCCTTTGAGTAATGCATTACTCAAAGTTCCAATGATCACAGGCAGCGCTGAAAGGAAGATTCTTTACCTGCATTTGGGGTCACTGCAGAAGTACTGCTTAACCAAAATACTAGTACACTTGTTACTTCTCATCTAAGTAGCACTCTGGTCTCAGGGTTTTATTTTTAAAGGGAAACTACCTGCACGTATTGAGGGAAGAACAGAGTTCAATCTCGTGTATCATCACAACCATCTACTAACACATTTCCCACAGTATGGAGCATGACCCTATGTGGGAGTGTGGACGGACCACATTTGTTTGTTCAGAGTCTGAGCTTTCATTAAGAAGTCTTTATTTATTTTTATGATTATGGAAAGACTCTTCAAAAACATGGCAAGTATAATCAATGCTTGAGTTTGCATGGAACCTAAAGCAATATGTGAGATAAACAGTCCTGTCCATTTAAATGGGAATTAACTCAGATGCCAGTGAGGGTATTTCAGCTGTCAGCACTGTTAATTAACCCATCACTATGCAAAGTATGTTAGAAAAGAAAGTAAACATTAAAATATGTACCGATTTACTCTACCATTTCTCAAAGAGGGGCCCATGAAAGACTAATACTAGGGAAAAAGAGGCATAAGAGAAGAGCTCAAAAAAAAAAAAATCCACAAAACCCTACACCAATCCCAACCATGGATACAGGAGTAACATAAAAATGGGTTAACTGACTGCACTAATCAATAAAGATAACACGAAATTTCTAAAAACTGAAAACTTCATTACTGCTATAAAAATCATCAGGCATCAAGCAGCACTCTTAGTACAAAATTTCAAGTCCGAGTTAAATTAATTCAGGAAATACTCGACCTTTTAATATGAACTTTGGGTTTTCATTGTGGCAGAACTCAAAGTACCTGTCTGTTATTTTGCCTTTAAAATGATTAGCATGATGTTTAGTAGACAAAGTAGATTTACGATAATTAGGGATCTTGCTTCTTTTAGCCACCTTTCTGTTGTTTTCTTTTCCGCTTTCACACTCACTCTCAGAAGTCAGATCAGTGTCTCTCTTTGCTTTGAGAACTTTCAGAGGAGTGCCTGTTCTTGAATAATTAGAGACCTAAGAACAAAAGCAAGTAAAAAGTTGTTAGCCTAAAAAAATTACATAAGTAATTTCTACAAGGATTTTTTTCATGTTATATTTGAAGGATTAGGGTTTATGAAATGGCTTTGATAGACGTAGATTAACTAATGAAGATGCCACAGACTGTAGCTAATTAGTTAATATTTCTTGACCGTTGCCAGCCAACCATTTCAACCCTTCCTTTCATGCAGGAAACTTAGCTATACTGGCAGAACACTGTGTTAGATAATGTGTAATTGCTTACTCATTATTCCTTGAACTTCTGAAGTTATCACGGAAGGATGTTAATGTTGTTTCTCATAAAGAATAGTTAAAATTCTTGACAATTTTCAGTTCACATGAAAGGAAAAAAATTCTCCAGTATAGATCTCTGACAACAGGGTTATAAAGGTGGGGGGAAAGTATATTCATAATTTGTTCCCACATCAGATGAAGGATCTACAAAACTGAAGACCCTCTATCTTAGTTCAGCTGGTCCTCTGAGGATTAGGGCCCAGCACTGCACGAAGTTTTGTGCCCCTAAATCATGCCTCCTTCTGCCTAGTGAAATTATACTGATTCAACTTCCACAGACTTATGTATTTATTTTACCAAGTTTGTTAATAACCAGAGATCACAGAAACTTAAGACTTGAAGTTCCTTCTAGAGGTAATCTACTCCATCCTCTCCAAAGGAGGCAGAATTAAATATACTTAGAAAAACATTTTGTCTAGCATTGGTCTAACTTATTTTTAAAAACCATGACTGACAGCTTGTTTCATTGCTAAATTATCCTTATAGTTAGGAAAGCATTCCTAACACCTACTATAAATCTCCCTTGCTGCAAATTAGTTCGAGTTCTATTCTTGGTGAAGTGGAAAATAACTGTGTCTATTGCTTTTGTGCATTTAGTCAAGATATTGTAAATACAGGCAGTCCCCGAGTTACGTGGATCCGACTTATGTCAGATCCGCAGTTACGAACGGGGTTTTTCTTGCCCCGGAGGACAGGAGCGGCGGGACGCCCAGATGCGCCGCGGTCCCACCGCCCGCGTCCTCTGGGGCGAGAAAAGCTGCTATGCATCTCCCTGGTCTGCTGGTGGGGGAGCCCCCCCCAGCAGACCAGGGAGACGCTGAGCAAAGCCGCGGAGTACACGGGCAGCGGGACAGTGGTTACCAGCAGACCAGGGAGACGGGGAGCAAAGCCTCGGAGGACGCTGGCAGTGGGACAGCCGCGGCGCGTCTGGGCTGTCCCGCTGCCCGCGTGCTCCGCGTCTCCCTGGTCTGCTGGTCTGCTCCTTGGAGGAGCTGGGAGAACATTCCATGAGTTCTTTGCCTTCTTGAGAAACTTCTGTG